TGTGTGTGTGTGTGTGTGTTATATATATATATATATATATATATATACTTCATATCATACCCCATCATATCATATCACGTACCGTCACACGGTGGAGTCTGCATTGCCGACTGTTTATCCTGAATTTATCGATGTTTCCATCCAACACTCCGCAGATCAACTCAGTAGTTCCCCACAATAACTTCTGGTCGAAGTCCACGTTGATCGACAAGCTCTGATGCTTCAGTTTAAACTGCTTGTGTGTACTTTCCTCAGCAGAAGCCGTTGCCCCAGCATTCACACCGTTGCTGTGCAACTTGGCTGATGTTCGTGTATCATCCATAGTGTTTGTGTTAGTGCTCGGTATAGTGTCTGGCGCTACATTGGTGCTCCTAGCTCGCGTACGAGTAGACATGGTTGCTATGCCAACGTGAACCGCTAGAACAAGAAGCGTGTCGATGTCTATGCACAGATGCCCGGGCCTTCGGTGGTGAGTGAGACGCCCGGTTCTTCGGTAGTGAGTGTGTATTTACTAGTTAGACGTATTGCGAATATGAAGACACGGCATGTCACCTATCCAACGCGCTCATTCTTATGAATGTGAATATGGTAATAACGAACCTTGTAATACAAATACAGAATCCCGTCGCACAACAACTGCTGAGTGCTCTCGATATGCTGCAACTATCACTTTGATTGCAATCGTTATAAATATGTATTATATAGACGCATAGTTTTCTGGTTCTAAATAGGAGGCTATGCCATGATAGATGCATATATGATATGTATGTTATATATTTCTGAAGTAAATATGTATTTGTGGTGTCGAAGCGAGCGACAAATATCTCATTAACAAATGCCGGCAGTCGAAAAGCGTCATAATTATGCGTAAACAAAGGCATTCCGCGCGCTTTTCGAAGATATGTATTTGGAGGTTTACAACAAACAAATATTATTATTTTTTAGTTTTTTGTTTTATAAAAAAAAGCATAGCCTTCAAATTTCAATAGAAACTATAAAATAAATATAAAGCACAGTCACCGAGGGCGAGGGCCGAGGGGTCACCACGAACTGGGCATTTTTTTGAAAATGTTATTTTAAAATTTGATATATAGAAAGGGGTATTTATAGAAACGTCTGGAAACAAACCTTAACTTCTTCACGGACAAATAAGTGTAGGATACCGTCTACACGTACATATCGGTATAAATAGAGGATAGCGACAAGATGACTGAGGAGCATTCAGTTGAATCTGTGACTGAAGGTCTTTCGAAGGCTGACATCGCATCAGAATACCGACCCGAAAATCATGAGGTGGCTGTATCAGTCAGTAAGTTAGATCCCACCCATATATATTTACATTTATATATCTATCTATATATAT